GGCAAGACTGAGGGGGCGACTGAGGCGGCTGACAGTGGGTCCGCAGCGCGCGAGCCCAGCAGACAGCCGCGGCGGACTGGGCCGGGCGGGCCGGGCTGTGCGAAGCTCAGCGCTAGAGAGCGGGAGGGTCAGGGGGCGGGGCCGCCGATCGCTCCGCCCCGCGCCGCAGAGCCGGCACCGCCCCCGACTCGCCGCCTGCGCACCCGGCACCTAGCAGCGCGCCTTCTGAGTCTGCGGACTTGGAGCAGGGGAGAGGCAGGCCTCCTGCAACCTGTGCGTGACTCTGTGGGGAGGGTGTGGGAGCCAGTCCTGCTCACCAAAAATAGGGGAAAGGGAGCCGAAAGCTTCTACCGCCTTTTGATTGGGGAGAAAAGAGCCACATCCTACCCGAGATGGAGATGCTGAAATTGTCCTCAGTCTCTTAGGGTGGAGAAAAGGTGTTAACCTCCCTGCTCTGAGTTGGGAAAGGACCATTCTTCTATCCCGCGACATGCACGCTGTTGTGAGAAAGAAAAGTACCACCTCCTTTCCCAAAGCTGGGAATAAAAGTGTCATCTCCCCACTACCCGGTTGATCCCCACTTCCCAAAGCTGGGAATAAAAGTGTCATCTCCCCACCCCCCCAGTTCATCCCCACTAACACACACACACACACACACACACACACACACACCCTGTGGTGAGATGGAAAAGAACTACCCCCTCCCTTCCTTAACGCTGAGGAAAAGGCATTCCCCCACACCCCCACCACAAGGTGATGGAGGCAAGTCTTAGTGGGGAAGCAAAGGGTCATCTCCTCCACTTTGGGGAAGAGAGGGTAAACATCCTCTCCACGCGATCTTGGAAGGATGTCTGGGACACATTTTTTGCGCCTGCACTTGAGGATGGCTCACCTAAGAGCATTTACTTCTCTTACCCTCCTCATCGACCAGAGAGAGGAAACTATACGTAAGGCTGGAGACACACGCACACCCAGGACTCCCAAATGAGATATCTAAGGCTCCCCTACACTTTCTGTGTTCATCTCAGTGACAAGAATTGGTGCATCCTTTGTAGTACCAAGAAGGCCATCTCTTCAAGATCTTTCTTTCTGTTTTTTTCCAGTTCATTCATTGGCCAAATATGTCTGGATCTCCGTGAAGACTTCTCTGATTACCACCTTCTCATGTGTGACCCCTGGACTTTTCTTTTCACTTCTCATGAGAAATAATTAATCCCTATATTGTACGGGAACAGGACACAGAAGATATACCGTACATTCAGACCACTTGGGTGATATTTGACCTTGGGCAAATTAGTCCTCTGGGCCTCTTTCCCCTAGCTGATAAAAGGAAATAGTTTTCAAAGTTGTTACACAGAGTAATAAGATCATGTATGTAAAGCACCTGGAACACAGTAAGCATTCTAGTAGTGGTGGCTGGATTCTTATCTGAACTAGTTCTCAGTATTTATTGGAAAGAATGGAATCAATGAGCAACTTACACTAATATCAGCAGGCAGTTCTTGCTTCCTACATCTTAGCCGGCCTCAACTTAGGGGCTGGAGATGCACAATCCAGCTCTGGGCCAGAGACCTCCAGCCAACTATAATAATACAATAGCCTTCTCATCTAACATGTGCCAAGCAGTGGTAAGAATTTGATAGTCTAGTGTGAATGAGAAATGGCCTCTGTCTATGGGAAGTTTGCAATCTGTGTGGTCTAGATTGGGGAAGATAGACACAAACAACTAACCACAATAAGATGTGAGAAATGCTATAATACAGTTGGGCAAGGTGGTTTAGGAGCAGCGAGGAGTGCGAGATTCATTCTGCCTATGAGGCTTAGGGATGGCTTCTCAGATGAGACAGCGGCAAGAGGTTAACAGCAGAGAAGTGAGGTAGCACTGAGGCAGAGAAAGCCTGGAGGAATGCTATTTGATGACTCCTCCAAGAAGCCTTCCACCAATCTCCCAGGACTAAGTATTTCATCACTTATGCATGGTTTTGACATAGCCCCTTAATAAATTATGAGAAAACATTCTGGTGACTAGAATGTAAGGATTTCAAGGTAGGATTGTTTCTTAGTCATTTTTGGACCCCAACACCAAGCACAGTGCCTGACAAACAGTAAGATCTCAGCTGTTTGAGAATCAAACTATACTCTTACCCAGCTCAGTTCTTGGATCTGTTGGAAAATAAAACTTATAAGTTAATAATAACTTAGGGAAATAAATTTAATGTATTGCCTTTCCTAGAAATATTTTTTAGAGAATCAGAGGAATCTCTTCTAAAGGCATGAATCTCTAATGATGGGATTTCAGACACTGTATCACTTCAATTTTTTTTCAGATGGTTGGGTTATCTTTTTTTATATTTAAGTAATTCTCTTAAACCATTAAGCTTATAGTGTGTGTATGATATTTAAAAATTAACCAGTTACCAAACATGTTTTGAAGTATCTAATACGTGCAAGGCATTATTCTGGGCACTGATTGATAAAGGAAATTCAAGGATGAACAAAACTCAAGTCTGCCCCTAAGAAGACAACTCATACACATGTGAACACATAACTAGCAATAGTAGAGCAGTTTATGAATGGAGCAGGCAGTGAGTGTCAGAGGAGCTAGAGGAAGAGGAGATCTCTGGGGTAGGAGATTTCACAGGGGAGATAGAGCCCAGGCCTTGTGAAAGGGGTGGAATTTAGATAAACAGAACAAGATGGAGAAGGCAACCAAGATAGAGGAGATAGCAAGATCAAAGTTGGGGAAGTTGCACTGGATAAGATAGAAGAATATATAGATCTAGTCCTTGAAGGCAAAGACCTTCCCTGTATTATCACTATATTCCTTGAGCCTTAGAATAACACGTGGCATGTAGCATGCACCCAAATATTTGTAAGAGAGGCTCCAAGAGGCTGTACTTTTGTATATGTTTATGTATTAGTCTATCCAGCTTTTCTTGTAGATGCCAAGTACCTCAAGGTGAGGAATTCTGTCTTCTCTCAGAATGATCTATAGAGCCTAACAAAACATCCAATGCACAATGTGTCCCAATCTTGGGTGCTAGATCAAAATGTTCCCAGAGAACTATTTGGCTATAAAGTCCTTTATTAGTACAATGGAAGGCCATAAGCTTGTTAAATAATATTTATCAAATATTCCATTAATTTATTAAGTTATTATCTGGTAGGTTTTAATAAGAATATTACTCATGGAAGAACAAAATATTTTCTTATAATTAGGCATGGTGGTCATTAATCAATTGTATATGACCTGAAGATTTTCATTACCCGACACAGCTGTGAATCACATCTGCTTAAACCGATATCCTCCATGTTCCACTGAGTTTTTGCCAAGAAGAGTCTTTGTGGCATGCAAAGACACTTTATTATAAAAGGGCTTGGGTTTTTAATGAGCAGTAATGAAAAATCTTTTTCTTATCCTTACTCATGGACCTAGGTTCTAGGTGCAGGGAGAATATAGCACCATTAGTCTATCTTATGTCTTTCCTTTTCTGTGGAATTGAAGGGGGAACAGGATTTGGAAATGCTACAACATATAAAATTCTGGTGCAGTTAGGACCTTTTCTGCCTGTCTCCCTCAGAGACCAACCAGCAATTCTCCATCTCCAGGTGGAAGGCATTTCTCCAAGAGCAATCAGTGGAGGGGTCTCCCCCACCTTTTTTAATGATTCAGGGACCAACTAAGCCAACTGTCAGGATCTCAAAGGTCTCTTCCAGTTCTAGAAGCCCAGGATTCTTTGAGGTCCTTCTTTGTATAATTTTTATCTTCTTACTGAATTGAAAACACAAGTAAACATCTGGCAATTACAGATGAAAGAATCGTGTTAAAATCAAAACCAATTTAAATGCTTTATAGTTTCTCTCTTTTCTCTCCTCCCTTAAGCAGCAATGCAGCAAAAAAGCTCACAGGGAAAAAGGCTGGATACAAGACTGAGAACTAATTAAGTATCTTCTACAGGCAGAGCTCAAATACAAAGCTTAAAGGAAAATCTGGCACACGGAGCCACCTGGCAAAACACCTATTGACTGGGTGTCTTCCCAAACAAGGAAGTTTGCTGAAACATGCCACTCTTGGCCCTCGCTCACTTTTCAGGATCAAGGACCCCATTCGGACCCATTTGTCCTAAAGAGAAGTAGAAAGAGTTTGTGATTCAGAAACTGGGTTCTAGTCCCACCTCCAACACTAATTTCTATGCAATTTTCAACAAGTCGCTGAGCTCTCTGGACCCCTTATGTTAACAGGGAGGGATAGGTCTGCCTTGGGCCTCTCATGAGGTAATATGGGAACACTTTGTAAATGGCAAAGCTTTATCGTTATTTCCTTTCATATATCTTACCTGTCATTTGGAGAACGCAGTTGAATCGAGAGTTCATCATGTCCATTCAAGCAGGCCTTCTTGACGATTAGCCCTGTGAATGCCATTCTCCTCCACCTCTGTATAGAGGACAGCTATAGCTCCAACTTTGAATTCTCCAGAGGTGGCCATGTCAGCTGGGTTAGTTTGCTATAATTAGAAATCACACAAATATAAGTTCAATTTCTAAATCTGCCTCATTGTAGCTGTTCAACTTTCAACAAATCACTTTCAGCCTCGGTTCTCTCATCTGTAAAAGAATCTGATAATTATCATAATGATCTTGAAGGACTATTTTGAGGACT